TTTCCTTAGGAGATCCAAAGGACATCCTTGTGCTGTTTGGGGAATGTATCCAGAACATGTATACGTAAATCGAAAAGGATACCATTCCATAAATACACAGCTAGTAAGTACATACATTGAATATTGATTGATTGTAGTTATAATATTGTAATGTTATAATTTATAGCACGATTAAACATGTAAAATTAACAATTATTTTATTATATTATGTAATAATGCTTTTATTACAGATATGTGATTCAAGAATGAAAATTTTAAATGTTAATGCTCGATATCCTGGTAGTTGCCATGATAGTTTTATTTGGAATCATTGCAATATTCTGCCACTTATGCAAAATATACATGTACGAGGTCATGATAATTTTTATTTACTAGGTTAGTATTTTTTCAAAAGGACAAAGAAAAGGGTTTGTTAACTTAAATAATTATCAAATTTTATTTAAACTTTGTTTTAGGAGATTCAGGTTACGCATTAAGACCATGGCTTTTAACTCCATTGAATGATACTCAACCAGGTACTCAAGAGGAACGTTATAACCAATGTTTCAAAAAAACACGATCAATTATCGAAAGATGCATTGGTCTATTAAAAATGCGATTTCGATGTTTGCTAAAACATCGTGTGCTTCATTATGCTCCAAGCGTGGCTTCAAAAATGATAAATTCATGTACAGTTTTACATAATATGTGTGTAGAAAATAATTTACCACTTCCCTCAGAAGATTACGATTTACATATCGATTTAGGCATGTTTCATGAAAGACCAATAGAAGTTGAAGCTGCTGTTGGACGTATAAACCCTGATCTTGCAAAAGCAAAAATAATACAACGTCGTATAATTAGAAATTTTTTCTGAAATAAGATATATATTGGTATAAGTTTATAAAAAATAAAAGGCAAGAATTAAATTATTATTTTTATTTAACCTTATTTTACATAGAGTAACGTGTTTAATACATTATTTACTAAGTTAAATATGTTTGAATAGGAAACATAAAATATTGTGTTTGCTCATCGAGACAGTGTTTAATAAGCAGTTACTGATTAAGCCCATTAGCAGAATAATTAAACTTTTTGTTAGTGAGCAACACAAAAATTTACATAATTTTAGACCAATTAATTACTTTAGTAGGAGCTTTAAATTTTACTCATCAGTATAACTAATAATTTATTAATGAATGAACATTGCGTGATAGTTATAGTTCAGTTTTCAATATATTAACTTTTTCTTTATCAAAAATTAAATACGTTTTACACCTGTAAAATATACGTATAATATATATGACATAGTTGAATGTAAATTATTTGTTATTATTATTATCGTATTTCTATAACTAAATCACACATTTATATCACATTTTTAAAATAACAAAAATTAAAAATTAATTAATTTGACTGATAAAAACAAAATAATTATTTAATTGTAATTCATATCACGTTCATATAATTAATAAATTATATACTTTTAATATAACAAAAAATAAAAATAGTTTTACAAGTAACAAACTTGTATTTTCTTTTTATGGATTAAATAGAATAAAATATTATCAGTCTTGTATAGCTTTGGCATTAATAAATAATTGATATTATAAACTAATAATCTCTCTCTTTTGAATTTTATACTTCTTCGAAATTTATCTCTTGTTGTGTAATTGCATAATAAGCTTCGATTGCTGTAGCAATTCGTTCTTTCGCTACAACATCACGTTCCATAAGCGTAAGTTTTTTTTCATAATATTCTGAACGTATCTTCAAGTCATTCTCCACATTTGTGGTCAAAGATTTTGTATAGGAGAGAGTGTTATCAAAACAGGCTTGTTTGGTAGCACGTTGTTGAGATGTGTCCTGTCTGCTTCTCTTGGTACCTTCTAATACAATTTATCTATTTAGTAATATAATACATATATAAAAAATTTATATTGTTGTAAATAAATATTACTACTTGCTGCGGTTCTTCTAATTGGATTTGGATTTGGATTATTCAATGTGATTTTGCTGTTTACATCTATCTCGTTATTTGAAGATTCTAGTATCACAATATTATCACGATCTACTGATTCTGTAAAAAAATTAAATTTTTTATTAAAAAGTTACAGTACCTGACTTTATAAATTTATATAATGCACTTACTTTGAGATATTGATGGATAATTCTCTTTTTCGCAAATTGATAACTGTTCTTGAACAGATTTTTTTGCAATTAAGTCATGTTTTTCTACAAGGAAAATGAAAAAATTGTTATAAGAACTATTATAAATACCTAAAAACAATAGATGTAAAATAAAAATTAAAAGTAAAGGAAATATATGTATATATATTATATATACAGGGTATATACATATATGTATGTATATAGTACCTTTCAATACATTATTGAGTCTTGATGCTGAATTTGATATTTTGGTATTTTTCCCTTTACAATCCGTTACGTTTATGATTTCAGTGTCTTCATTATTTTCATAATTCTAGAAGAAGATAATAATTTTTTAAAGTTAGACTATATAAAATTAATTTTTGATAAAGTATACTTTATATTTTATTTAAATTCATGCTTTGATACTTACAAATTCCGCAATAGATTCATCAACAGAGGCATCACCATATATAGTAGTAGGTCCAATTAACTTAGCTACATCGTCGTCTATTGTTGTCATGCTAATGTCTGATGGTGGACCTCCTCCAGTCTTTCTTAAACTTCGATTAATATCTGCTTTTTTTCCTTTCACTTTTGTTTTCATGTCATGCCAAGTCTGTACCCAGCAAACCAACATATACTGTTATATAA